GCACGCACGCACGCACGCACGCACGCACGCACGCACGCACGCACGTACGCACGCACGCACGTACGCCCGCACACACGCGCCGTGCACACGCACGCACACACGCGCCGTGCACACGCGACATGTTTGATAGATCGGGTCACTTACAGCAACATATCGATACGTCCACTCACGCGCACGCACGCACGCACGCACGCATGCACGCACGCACGCACGCACGCACGCACGCACCCACATTCGCACACAGACACTCGAGAGAGCACTAGCTTGCGAGAGATGACGAGCAGAGAAAGAGAGAGAGAGAGAGAGAGAGAGAGAGAGAGAGAGAGAGAGAGAGAGAGAGAGAGAGAGAGAGAGAGAGAGAGAGATGGGGTGCGATTGTCACAGCTGTTGGAGTGAGTTGCGAGTACTAGCGGATTAAGGGCGGGGCAACAGGGGCACGTGCCCCGGGCCCCCCACATTTAGAGTATCCTAAAATTTACAATACTGCCGTAATTGTGATCCACAAAATTCTTAGCATGTAACGTTGAAGTGATGCGTTTCCCATGCTGTTTCTCTGACTGAATTTTGCTGTTCAGCTGAAGAACACTACTTTCCTTAATACCGAAATTGCTCTGAGAATCTATCTTTCATTGATGGTCTCGAATTGTAGCGGTGAAAGGTCATTTTTAAAACTCAAGTTGATTAAAAATCACATGAGAACCACGATGAGCCAACAGAGACTGGTAAACCTCAGTATTCTCGCTATCGAAAGTGACATTTTAAATTCGTTGAAACACGATGAAATTCTCTCTGAATTTGCAAGCATGAAAGTGCAGAACAAATACAGACTATAGGGCCCCCACACAATTGCGTGCCACGGGTCCCCCACACGCTTAGTCCGGCCCTGGTTGCGAGGGGTGTAAGACTGTCAGTGATACAGTCAACGACTTCTCAAACAGAAATCAACTCGCTGCCTCAAGCACAGGCTGAAAAAACATGATATTTATGCTGACTTCAGAGGCATTCGTGGTGGATTTAGACAGCTTGTGAAATGACAACGTACTGACCCAGCCTGACAGGAATATGCCGTGCGCGCTTTCCCCCTCTAGCAAGTTGCTTGTTCCGTAAAGCGTCGGAGACCTGTTCAGTGGCAGGTGGGGAAGCAGTGCCGGCAAGCCAAATCCACCTTTGTCCGGCTTTCATATTCATTCACGACTATTGCTCAATGTAAGATAAGCGCAGAAAAGCAATTGGGTGTGAGCTCGCAGATACTAGAAACCGTTGAAGGCGTACGGTACTCTATTTTACCGATGTAGTTTCTAGCTTGGTGGGTTTATGGAAGGAGAGGCGAGGGGGTATAGGAACTGATTGCACGTCATAGTGGAAGGTGGACTTTGATGAGAAATAATAGTGGTTTCTCAACTCTCTCAGATTTCTAGCAGTGATTGGTCAGTAGTAGGTGAATTCAGTTGCTGTTGTGCAAAGACCGAGGGTTGCGTAATAATTACATCTGCTTGTTAAAATTTAATAATGCTTTGAGCCATGTAATGGAGATTAAATCGTTTTCGGGCAGTTGTACAACATAGGTGTAGGCTGGGTAAAAAGTTGTTGTGGCACACACCATTTCACCCTTGATGGGAACTGACATCCAAGAGAGATAATATAATCATAATAATGGATTCTGAGATTTGTTATTTTCGACTGTAGTCAGGTGCTCGCGATATGTTATGAGTTGTCTATTGCAACTCGTAAGCGTGTTTGTGCGATGTGTAGGTTTTCTGTACACATTAGCGCGCGCGTGTGTGCGCGTGTGTACACGGTTGCTGCTGTTCTAATCTGTCTTTTCACTCTCTACTGCTCAATAGATTTCGTTGCGAACTTGCGAAATTTCTGCACCAACCATCTTGATTTCCATGATGAAATATTGCTCGGTGTGGTTTTTGTAACGTAACCCCAACCCTAATGGATATAAGAAAGGACGTAAACTCATGACAGCACTAACCCGTTCGAGATTGTTGCTTCGGTTTCTGAAGATGGTTGTGTTTCGTGTCATCACATCATTCAGAGCAAAGCAATGGCGTTCTTTATCAAACTATAGCGGGCTTTACAGCGATACTGCTGAGTGAATGACCCGGTGTGTTTCGGATGTGCATTGTTGTGCGTTCCGTCGGCTGATTTTACTTGAATTGTTCGAGTAATTTGTCGCGGGTGTTTCTTAGACGGCGTGACAGTAGTTGGTAGTGTAACGGCACTACGGCAGTGGGGCGTATGCTGTAGCAACCGTCACTCGCGCACGGCCTGACACCTGTCGCAGCAACTAGCGACGAGAGCTGGACTAACTTACCTGTCCGCTCACCGAATATGTGAGAAAACCCTGCTGAGTAATTCACATTCCAGAGCAAATAGGATAGAGTGAAGACAGATATGGGGGGGGGGGCGATATATTAAGGTAAGATGGAGAGGGCTAAACGAGGATAGTGTTGTGCGGCAAGTTGTAAGGACAAAGAAGAGAGAGAGAGAGCGAGAGAGAGAGAGAGAGAGAGTGTGTGTGCGTGCGCGCGTGTGTATGTGTGTGTGTGTGCGTGCGTGCGTGCGTGCGTGCGTGCGCGTGTGTGTGTATTGGGTCGTGGTTCGTTGTCGAGAGCATCTGTAGTATATACAGCACAGGCAGAGACGCGGGGCAGCTGCCAAAGAGGAGATTGCGATAGCGAGTGCGCGACCGTCGCACCGGTGACGCATCACTCCGGAGGGGCGATGTTTATGCGCGCGAGCTGATCGTCTTTTGTTGGGGAAATAACGACGATGTCGCGCGCGAGTATCTTGTACGTCTGATGGCTGTCGCAGACCGCGCGCGCGGGGAGAGTATTTGCTTACAGACCTTCCTCCGCCACATCTGCAGCTGTAATAATGCAATCACTACAACTCTTACATTTACAATACTCACGGCAACAACGCGAATTGATTAGTAGCCTTGACATCCAATGCGCGTCAGCAGCGTCCCGATAAAGGTTACGTGTATATATATATATATATTATATATATATTTATATATCAAGAGTACATAATAGAGACCTATTAATTTATTATAGACCTATTAATAAATCTCTAGTATGGACTCTCGATATATATATACAGCGCTGTCCGTGCGATTTCTCTCGCATGTCGTATGGTTTCTCNATACCTAAAATGGTCGTCGGGTCATGCTGATTCAGAATATATATGGTGTTAGGGGTGAACTCTTACGTGGGGGGAGAAGATAGACAGACAGACAGACAGACAGACAGACACAAAAACATATATATATATATATATATCCCTCTCTCTTTCCCTCTTGCCATGTCTCTCTGTTTCCGTTGGTCTCTCACTGTCTTCTTGCTAGGTGCCTTCTTGCTGTCTTTTTCTGTGTGCCTTCTCTATCTGCGGCCTCCATCTCTCTCTCTCTCTCTCTCTTTTTCTCTCTCTCTCTCTCTCTTTCTCTCTCTCTCTCTCGCTCTCTCCAATTCTTCCTATGTATCCCCGTCTCCGTATGGTCACAAAACTACGTATGGTCACAAAACTAACACTAACGAGGCAATAAATCAGTGGAATACACTACCATTAGACAGACACAAAAAGGGGCACACATATATATATGCATATATATACATATATATTGCATCAATCACGGGGCACATCTGAGTTTTAATAAATATTTTTTATCCCACCGACACGGTTTTAGAAGAACATTTTCACTCCTAAAAGTACTGCTGTTGGGTTTTGTGCCCTCAATCAAACTAAAATTAAATTTACATATTTCCATCGTTGCTTAATATTGTATTTTAAAATTATGTAATACTTGGTGCCTGCAGACTGCGGACACTTGATGATACTCAAGCGTACGAACAGAACGTCATTTTAGTCGCCCGCACACATGCCTGCTAAAATTCCAAAGCAGTGAATGCTTGGATTACGGTTACCGTTACAGTTTGTAACAAAGGTTGGCACGTTTACTCCGCGATTCTATTATATTTGCTTTTAATTGAACCCTGTTAACCCTGTCACACTAGAGCGTATAGCCTTAACGTATGCCAGCGTATGAGCTTTTTTGCCAATACGTTGGTGTACGTTGATATACGTTAGGAGTACGTTAGGCATAAGTTGTATTCGTTAACAGCACGCTGTGATACGCTGTCGTACGTCGAGGTACGCCGAGACAGAAAAAATGTTTTGGGTTGTTCAAAACTTTCAGCGTATAGACAACGTATAATTCGTAGGTTAGGCATACGTTATAGATTCGTTGTGAGTACGTTAGACATACGTTGACATACGCTAGAGGTATGTTAGAGGTACGTTATTCATACGTCGAGATACGTCGGCTGAGGGTGTAACGTACACCTAGCGTATTGACAACGATTGAGTAACTTACTTCTAACGTATATTGGACGTATTTGCAACGTATCCTGACGTATTCAGACGTATTGTACGTACGCCTGGCGACGGAGTAACGTCTTTAACGTGTTTCTACCGTACAGCTAGCGTTCATTTGGCGTCCTGTGAGCGTGTTGCGGGCGGGTTATATATATATGGCCCATGAGTAACTCAATCAGTACCATAATGTGATAAGTTCAATCAGAGAAGATGGATGCATACCAACTAGCCGTTTTCAAACATCTACATGACGTCAACCAATTGGCAATTGCACAAGTCCGTACCATTAGAAGAAGGAGGAGGAGAAGAGCTCAACGGAGGAGGTTCTGGATCAGACCATGGATCGGTAGGCGACGTCAGTTTGGCATGTACGACCAGCTTCTGGTGGAACTCCGTAACGAGGACAGGGCATCCTTCCACAACTTCATGCGTATGCCCCCCGAAATGTTTGATGAGCTGCTAGCCAGAGTGGGTCCCAGGATAACCAAGGAACATACCAGTTGCAGGGAACCGCTCGAGCCTGGCCTGAAGCTTGCCCTGACTCTGCGTCACCTTGCTTCTGGGTGCAAGAATTCATCGATGAAGTTTGGGTGGAGGGTCCCTCACAACACACAGTCACTCCTCGTCCGAGAAGTATGTCAGGCCATCATCGACGAATACCTTGACGAGTTGATGAATTGCCCCAACACTCCTGATGGATGGCGTGCCATTGCTGACCAGTTCTTTCAAAAGTCGAACTTTCCCCATACATGTGGGGCACTTGATGGGAAGCACGTTGCCTGCCGGAGTCCTCCAAAAAGTGGGTCCATGTATTACAACTACAAAGGATTCTACTCCATTGTTCTTATGGCGCTTGTTGATGCAGATTACAAATTCATCTGGGCAGATGTCGGTGGTAAGTATTTTCAATGTAATAATTAAACAAAATCATTGATAAATAGTTTCTTGCATTAAAGCCCATGAAATGTTGTATCTTTAAAGGTAGGATCAGCTCAGGAACGTCTCAGATTTACAAGGACTGTGAGCTGAAGGAATGCAGAGTGAAGCTGTACATAAGGGTTTCCTGACCCAGAGCCTCTCCCCAACGAGACACCCAGAAATGTGCCTTTTGATCGGCGACAATGCCTTCGCCCTACGAACCACGGACCCATATGAAGCGTTACGGCCACGGGTTTGACGAAGGAGGAAGGTATCTATCAACGCAGCTTTCCCGAAGCAGGGAGAGCTAGCAGAAAATGCATTTCGGCTATCCTCGCAAACCGATTCCGAGGTTCTACGAACTACCATGCAGCATTGGGCCATCACACGTCAAGAATATCGCACGCGCCCCCCCCCCAACGGGTGGCATGGTCCTGCACAACCTGACTGAGGACCCGTACCACGCTCCCAAAACCAGCCAGCTTGACCGATGCAGAGAATGAGACCGCAATTTCGTCCAGAGGAAATGAGAGAGAGGCACGTACTTGGAGGACACCAAGAAAGGATATGGCCAAACACCTATGCCGGGAAGGAAGAAAACAACAGAATCTTATCAAGCATGGGCTAAGACTCACAGCGGTTGCAGTTCGGTGGCAAGAGCCGTATGATCTAATATGTTTGTGATAATATGTGAATAACATGTTTATAAAATAGGAATTTTCAGTGCGTTTGTGAACACCCCACATGTTTGATTGGTAGAATACCTATAACATTCATAATATGTCTATATGTAATATCATGTGTGTGTCTTGAATGAAAATGAACGCTTTGTTTTGTTTAAATTTATGATTAAATAATGAAATGATCAATTCCCAGTTAAATGACATAGCTATGAGGCGTCTTACTATATTATATTCATTACTTGTCAATTGATAGGTTGTGGATAATTGATGGTGCTTACTGTACATTTGGATAGATATTTTTTTGAATACTTAAACATGGATAACTTAAATAAAATGTAAGGACGCAAATTTAAGGTTTGACAAACTTTTTAATTAAACTTCAAATGAATCATGTGATCAAATGTAATCAACAATACTTTATTAACTTCAAATAGATCAACTGACAAATAATCAACAATAACTTTTCATTTAACTTCAAATGATTAATAGATCAACAAATCAGCAAGATATAATTCCCAGATAATAATGATAATATTGGTAATAATGGTACATAGTAAATGTCACACCACATACATCGAACTAGGTCTCTACTAGTTAGTATAACCTTGTCTCTTTCGTTATCTGGGGTGGCGTGTCCACCCCCCCCCCCCCTCCCCCCCCCCCCCCCCCCCCCCCCCCCCCCCCCCCCCCCCCCCCCCCCCCCCCCCCCCCCCCCCCCCCCCCCCTTTTCAATATTGGATGGCAGCCATGCTCAATAAACAGAAATAAACCAAGAAATATTTGAAATGCTTGTGATAGGTTTCAAAACTCCCTACAAATAGTATTCATGGCCCAGAGGTGGGTATCAGTGCATGGGAAGACTGAGAGCACGTTATTAGCACAGCAACCCTGTGCCCCGGGAGTCTGCTGCCTGCTGCTTGACGGCAGAGATGAAGCGACGAGAGCCATGCTTTGCTGCTCCGGAACGGCCACTAGTGGTGCATGCGGCTTGCCTGCCAGTAAGAAAGTATGTAACTCTGGGGACTGTAGGATTGCCCACTACGCAACCTGAAGGGGATGCGGTTGTCCACATGTGTGGAGCTTCGGTACGGCTCCGTGCGATGGGTACGTTCGGAGGCACTCGGCCAGGAACTGGAGACAGGAGTAATCACATCGGAACGGACTTGAGGAATGTTGGGGACATGGCTTGGGGGATGTCATCCGTCGCTGTCACCCGCCATCAATTCAACAGGATACGGTTCGATGGACCAAGCCTGCCTTCTTAACACTCGGCTGGTCCATGCTGAGAATGTCTGTCACGCACATAGTTGGCCGAAGATGCTGTTCATGGAGGAGGACTGGCTGCTGGGTACAGGTGTCAGACCTGGACAGACGCCTTTCACTTTGCATTGTACTGTCTTCTTTTTTATGGAGAATAGAGGTCAGCAGACGCTCAGTCACTGTTTCATGCCAAGCGCTTGCCTATGCCCTGGCCTTGCGTCACCTGTGAGGCATGTCAACATCATCCAAGAGGAGGCACAACATCGTCGACTACAGGCAGCCTCTGCAGCACACAAGTCCCCTGGTGTTTTGATATGGTGGCCTTGACGCAACGAGACAAAATAATACAAATAATAATTTCGGACATGGAACATTTTCGATTACAAAATAAGACAATGTTTGTTTGTATAGCAATCTACTTGATATACTGAAATGTCGATCAATGATTAAACACTTGTCTATTTACACTGCTGGACAGTATCTATGATGGGCGCACTCTTCTTATATAGATGTGTTGCCTCAGTTATAACATAAGTTTAAAGAATGCAAATGACTATGTCTTTAAAAATAATGAGTCCAGAGCCTGGTCTGTAATGCGTGATTTTTTTGACTTCGTGAACATGAGTGATTTTGAAGTGAATAGTGATTTTTGAGTGATGAGGCATTTTTTAGGCAATACTTACAGTTTTGCAGGAGCTTGACGAGGTGTCTGGATGACATGACTTCAGGAACCGAAGTTGGTCCTCTGATCCCAATAGCTCCTCTCCAAGTACAGCTAAAACAGCACAGCAGGGAGGCGGCCGTCACGCACCTCTTCTTCTTGTCGCAAGCCTGGTAATGGGTATCCTGAGCGATTTAACCACCCTTGTGAATGCTTAATCTGAAACATACAGAATTAGCAATCTAAATATGAATGAAAAAATTATAATTATTTAAATATTAATAAAAAAAAAAATTATATATATGCTTAACAATATAATCTAAAATTATTATCAAATGTGAATACTTACCAGGTCTTGGATGGTTCATTCTGGGCGCCCTGGTCATCCCAGCGCTTGTTTTCGAGGTCCGTGCGTCTGTAACCATCAACTTGCGTCCCAGATAATTGCTTTGTCTTGCACGGAACTCCAGCAATACTCCTTCCTGTTCTATGTATTACGAGAGGGGGCAACGAGGTCAAATTCTTCGTACGAACCCTTTTCTTTGCACTGATCATTTGGGGCTTCCTGTGAGTGAACTTGCAACAGAAACGACCAGAGCCTTCACAGCGAGGAGGAGGGGATGAAGCGAGTTCTCTAGCTGTGTATGGCCGGCGTATAGAATGAAGGCATTAGGCTTGTCAGGTTGGTCTGTGGTCAGTTGACTGGTCACGCTAGCGTCAGACTGGCTGGCTGTTCGTGCAACGGTGTGGTGATGGTTGGTGTATGGATCTTTCGCTCCCGCTGCTCCAGTGCAGACAATCGACATTGGCGGCATGTAGATTGCTTTATTACATTTATGAACCGAGAGCGGCACCGCGGCCACGGATTTATTCTGGTAGGGTACGCGTCCAGTGATCGTACCGTGACACGCCGAGCACGCTGCACACTGCGCTACTCATACGGCTACCCATACGCTCGGCCATTCGTCCGGAACGCCAGGCACTCGTTGACCATCAACCTCGGTACGTCCCATAGTTTTATAAGTTAATCGAACGCTAATACATACGTTGGACACCCAAAAGACCCCCACCGCCTCCGCCCCCCCGCCCGCCCACCCCACCACCCCCGGGGGGGGGGTTGTGTATAACGTTATGACGTACCGACCAATCACACAAAACAATCTGACTTTACTCGATCTTTATCTAATTGATCGATTTATACCTATCTTAATTCTATCTAAGTTTATCGCGATTTATACACTAGAGGACGCATCACCCTGTCTGCGTGACTGAATCGTCCCAGTTGCGAGCATGCTGGCGGCGCCCAGTGACCTGCGTACGAAGGTTACTTGGATTTGGAAGCCCAAACGACAGTTTGACTCGACCTGAGGCTGAAGTTTAAACATATATCACCGGGACGCCAAATTAGTCCTTATATCGCATTAAACGAGCAGTTCCCACAGGAAGTTTGTGCCTATATGGTAGAATAACGAAGAGTATTTACAGTACTTCTCTAAACAGGTACAACAAAAAGTACGCTTAATATACATTTAGCTATTCCACTTATATCTATACACTATATGTCTGTTCGACTGGTAATTCTCCTCTCTCTCTCTCTCTCTCTCCTTCTCTACCTCTCTTCTCTCTCTCTCTCTCTCTCTCATCTCTCTCTCTCTCCTCCTCTTCTCTGCTCTCTCCTCTCTCCTCTCTTCTCTCTCTCTCTCTCACGCGCGCTCTCTCTCGTCCGCTGCTCTCTCTCTCTCCTCACGCGCTCTCGCTCTCGCATCTCCTCTCTCTCTCTCTCTGCTCTCTCTCTCTCTCTCTCTCTCTCTCTCTCTCCTCTCTTCTCTCTTCTCTCTCTCTCTTAATATATCAATTCTATATATAATTATATAATATATATATATATCAGGAGAGCGTATAATGCAAGTAATCATCTTTGCATATATACGCTCCCTGATATCACCTATCATATAATACTATAATATTATCCTCTTTCTTGTTCCTTCTGGCACGTCTCTCTGTTTCCGTTGGTCTTTCACTGTCTTCTTGCTAGGTGCCTTCTTGCTGTCTTTTTCTGTGTGCCTTCTCTATCTGCGGCCTCCATCTCTCTCTCTCTCTCTCTTTTTTCTCTCTCTCTCTCTCTCTCTCTCTCTCTCTCTCGCTCTCTTCAATTCTTCCTATGTATCCCCGTCTCCGTAAGTCTCTCGCTGACCCTTGCTATGTGGCTTCATTGTTATAATTATTGTCTGAGCAAAGCACCCAGCGAACACTACGACGAGTATACAACAAATCTCCCAAAATCAGCGTTTGTCAGACTGAGCACACTTAAAATTATGCGCTACGCAGAATAAAAGGTTATTCCCACAAAAGCTCAACATCCTAATAGACGGGCAGGAGCAGCTACTGTAATGGGAGGGCAACTAAAAGTGCCCCCAATAGAATACCTAATCAAATACCACACGTACACTAATATTTATGAACGTCTCCATTAAACACCGTAACAAACCACACAGAAATAATCCCTTACCCCCATGCCTGTAAATTATTACACTAAATTCTAGTCATTGAAAAATACGTATGGTCACAAAACTAACACTAACGAGGCAATAAATCAGTGGAATACACCATGGGCGCAACCACTGGAAGGGACTTTCCTAGGTAATTTGTCCTATTGGTCAGGAATACACAGAGAGTATTTACAGACTTTCTAAAAGTAACAAAAAAAGTAGCTATATACACTTACTGTTTCATAAAGTCGTGCAATGCCATTTCTACACTTATTGATTCATTTTTCCTATTTAAGAAAAAAATGAGCTAGACCAACAGAGGGAAGTGGCACTATACATCCTAACAATTAATTACAAATTAAGGCGCCCAGGCCTAATTATCAGATTTTCAAATTCTGCACAGCACATATCCATGTTCGCGCATGCCCGCCAATTGCAAAACAAAATATTATTTGCTGGAAATTATACAAGGAGCACAAAGATCGCATGATTACGAGTATGTAGTTTGATATAAAAAAAATAACTGTAGCATTGTTTTGTTTTTATGCACGAGCAATTTCGGGGCAATGCTAGGCCATACCATATATCATATAGCAAAATCATACTATACTATATAAAGGAAATTGTTGGAAAGGATTTATTTTACTTTATTTCTTATACGTTATAATTTTGTATTAAATCTATATGAAATATATACTAAATATATTTATTATATTATTAGTTATTGAAAAAGATTAAGTATACTGTGTTAGTAGTGTTACTAAATATACGAAGTATAATAATATAATAGAAATATATATAATTATTTATATTAGATATATATAATATGAATACTATAGTTTTGATCAAAGTTCTAGCTCACATTTAGAGGCATAGTGTTACTCCTATTGACGCAGGGGGGGGGGAATATCCTAAGAAATGGGAGAGAAGGAGGAAGAAGAAGAATGATCGAGGAGGAGGCGGAGAAGAAGAAGGAGATGATGATGATGATGACGACGATGACGACGGCGATAACGACGACGACGAGGAAAGAGAAGAATCAGACAAAGAAGAAGAAGGAGGAGGAGGAGGAGGAAAAGGAGGAAGAGGAGGAGAAAAAGGAGGAAGAGGAGGAGGAGGAGGAGGAGGAAATGGAGGAGGAGGAGGAGGATGAGGAAGAGTAGAAGTCTAGAAGAAGAATCACGATTAATTTCCCGTATTGTTACCCGGTGTGAAGCGACAGGGCTCGTATAAGTAAAATTAAACAACTTATATATATTATATTTATACTTTATATAGATATAATCAAGAGCTAATAATACCTATATTGTATTATTAACTCTTGATATAATAAAATAAATATTATCGGTTGGAAAATAATAGGGTCCTCGCCGCAAGTGCATTATGGGAGTCGCTCGTGTGGATTCTGGCAGCGTATTGACGGAATAGTGTGAGGAGGTTTCCGAAACTAAGTTCGTGCCATTTGCAACAAGATACTGTTCTAGAGGAGCTGAATCAAAGTTTTGTATTTATATTACACCAACTCAGTCTATGTCGTATGGAAGCATAACGCATTAGCAATTTATGATATTCTTGGAAGGTAGTGCCGCGTCGATTTCAATCGTTGGATGGATCCAACGATAGCCTGGTATCAACCTGAGCAAATAGGACCAGCCCAGGAATTGTGGAGCCGAATTTGGGAAACGCAGATGGGAATTGAAAATATGAACCTAAATAATTCAAACCCAAACTTGGAAAACAAGGCACCGGAGTATATTTCTTTGAACTATACAAACGTATTTGACCAGAAACACGGACCAGTGAACAAGCCACAAACTAACAATTTGCAGTTGAATAATGCCTTGGGTAAACGAAAACGAGAAAATAAAGCAAGTACATTTGGCTTAAATCAGAACGTGCACTTGCTAGGTGATAACTGCAGTTTAACACCTTGGCGAATTAGAACACAGTACACGCCAGGAGTTGTAGGGTAAGTTAAATTGTTTAAAGTGTTAAGGCCCGCTTATGTCGACCTTACAACCTAGTCGCCGACAAGATTTGAATATCGTACGTCAAAAACCGGCCAGATCGCCGATAAAAACATCGGCGACCAAACTCGACATGAGTTCTCTTACGATCGAAAATACGGTCGCCGACTACGATCGCAGGAATAGAACATGTTCTATTTCTATGCGGCTGTCGGCGACAAATCGTGAGTGGCAGCCAATCACCGCAGCGTGTCGAGTCAAATGATTATCAAAAGTCACGTGATTAATAAAATATCAGCCTACACGCCACTCGTCAGCAGTTTACAAGGAGGGATTATTGCACAAACCCTTTCTCAAATATATATTAAGATTTCCGTATATCACATAAAAAAAATTTCTCCACATGATTATAACGATGTTCAGAAAATTGAGAATAGATTTACGAAGTTACATGATGTTTACTGGTAAGCGCCATTTTGTTGGTCACGTACGTGACTCGTTTGATGTAGACTGGTCCTGGCATCAAGCTTGCTCTGTTTGTGCTAGAACAAATACTGGGGCCGCGAACCTGTCTACGTTTCATGCAGGAACGCTACGATGTGATCGGCGATGTGCAGCGTAGTCACTTCAAGTCAACATGAGTGTTGCTACGCTGCTAATCGGCGCTAAAGTAGTCGCCGATAGTAAAATCGTAGACCGACCTGAGCGGGCCTTTATAATCAGAAATTTTAGTGCACATATTTATTTTCGCAATGTGCGACATGTATAAGTGTGGACAGCTCTTACACAACCACAGCCTCAGGCACTTGGAACGTCTCAATAAAAAAAAGGTAAATAAACACGAAATGTATTTACTACCAAAGTCTTAATGTTTCTCTACTCTATGTCGCCTATTATTGCCGATAATTACTCGTAAATGCCGGTCAAATGCTCATCTGCAACACACAAGTACACCGCACGCCCGCCTTGTGCACAAACAACATGAATAAGAGAGCAGGTAGGAAAGCGTGATCGCAAAGTTCGCTCGACTCTCGCTTCATTTCACACCTTCACAGCACGAATACACATCCAATAGCTTCCATCTTGGTATCTATGTGTAGCTAAATGTTTACTTGTTCGAATTATAACTGTCCTTTGTCCTTACCTACTCCTGCCAGAGATATCTCGTGAAATCCTGCAGGAAATGTTCTCGCCGTGAAAATGTAAAGAGGACGAGATGTCTGTTTATACACGAGTAAAGGCGGCGCATTGCATGCCGGGATGAGCTGCTGCCTCCCTCTGAGCCTCCATTTCGAGGCCCGCCAAGCATAATGTGCGCGGGCATGACGTCACACACACACGACTACAGTGATCGATCGAAAGTAGCGCCGTTATGGATTTTCGGATGATACGTCCTCTTTACATCCTCTACATTTTCACGGAGCGAACATTTCCTGGAGGATTTCACGAGCTATCTTTGGTGGGAGTAGGTAAGGACAAAGGACAGAGTTATAATTCGAACAAGTGAACATTTAGCTACACAGATACCAAGATGGAAGCTGTTGGATGTGTATTCGTGCTGTGAAGGTGTGAAATGAAGCGAGCGTCGAGCAAATGTTGTGATCACGCTTTCCTACCTGCTCTCTTATTCATGTTGTTTGTGCACAGGGCGGGCGTACGGTGTACTTGTGTGTTGCAGATGAGCATTTGACCGGCATTTACGGGTAATTATCGGCAATAATAGGCGACATAGAGAACTAACTATTAAGACTTTGGTAGTAAATACATTTCAGGTTTATTTACCTTTTTTTTTTATTGAGACGTTCCAAGTGCCTGTGAGCTCTTATATCCTTGGGGCCCATATATATTCGTATTGGGCAAAATATTACAAGCAAGAGTGAGTGCTTTTTGCAGTCAGTACAATTTTGCTAATTTTCTGATGATTACCTTCTTTCTTAATATACCAACTCGTATCATGACTGCTTTTTGAATTATACCTACTGTGCACCATGGATAAAGACATATTTGATAGTGATAGCACTTAAATAGCAATGAGTCATAAAGCATGTGATTTGAAATGCAATGTAAATGGCTGTCATGACTAAACTGGACATATATGTAGATGGCTAAACTATTGAAATCACTGTTCCTTATTGGCTGACACCATGCAATGTTGGGTGAAATTTGTTGAACATTTTAAAATTAAAATAGCGAAAGTGGCAGTAATGTACTTGTAAGTCAAACGGGTTAATTGTCGTTCATTGGTGGATTGCTCATGTGTGCAGGTTACATGAAGAAATTGAGGATTTTTACAAGTACATGTCTCCCCGTCCAGAGGAGCAGCAGATGAGAGAAGAGGTGGTACAGAGGATAACAAATATCATTGAAAGCATATGGCCTTCTGCTAAGGTACATGGGTATCAAACACAAGTGCACTAAAGGAAAACTCTGGCACATAGCTTTCACAAGTGTTTTCAGTTACAATAAGTTTTAATTATCCTATATTACTTTTTGTCTCACAATCTTGGTTTGAGAAATGAATTAATACTTTATTTCAAAATGTGCTCATTGCAGTTCACCTTAGGTGCAAAGTTGCACTTTTGATATTGATTTGACCATGTTGCACATGTATACATAGATCTGTTACAGTTTTGAAATCATTCGAATGATTGCAATATTTCATATTTCACTAGTAGTTGAAATTAAAAATAACATTACCATAGGTTTAACACGTAAAAGGTAGTTTTATTTTTTTGCTAATAAATACAATTGTAGTTTTCTAGTTACTGGAAATATTTGTTAACGTTTTAAAACTCAACAGTAGTTTGCTTGCAATCACAGTGGTTGCCACTGCATGCCTGCTCCTAACAAAGTTGTGCTATGTAAGTTACATGGCAGGCTACAGACCATGGGCATTTCTTATTTATTAATTTTTAAGAGAAGAAGGGTGGTAATATCTTAAATGGTTATATTTATATTTGACTCATAGTTTAATTTTCATTATGAATTCATGTATTTATCATTTAATGAAAAATTAGGGCAGGTTAAATAACAGATTAGGTATAAATATAATTTCACTTTTGTGATCAGCTACCGGTGTGAAACATGCAAAGAGAAATGTCAAACTCCCAGCTTCATCTGAGGAACAGCACTGTTAGACGATGTCGTGGCAGCACCCAAAATCCGTTATTTTGAAACTGTGTTGTAATGCATGATAATAGAAATATGTATCTTAACATACTCTGCAATTCTAGAGTATTGTTCTCCCTTAATTCTACGTAATTGCATGTGAACTAAGAATAATGTAGAAAAGCAATACATAAAAAAGTGATTCAGTAATGGTAAAACAGGTGTGTAATCTTATATAGTTGATGTAGATTATTAGAGCTGTGAACAATCGTCTAGTCGCCTTTGTTTGGCTAGTAAATGAATTAATTTGTGTATACGTGTAATCTTATCTGATTAGCTGTACTCTACAATACATAATATCTTGTCTTTAAGGTTGAAATATTTGGCAGCTTCAGAACTGGCCTATATCTACCAACCAGGTATGTATTGTATATCGATTTATCCATTCATTGTTTTGTACAAGTGGAGTTTTTGACATGTATCAGGGTTCTCCCCAGGTCTAAATGCATATTTGTTCCGACATGCCGCCAAAGCTGAAGCTTATTTGAGCCATCACATAAATCCTCCAACATACTTTAACTCCCTAATCAACATGCCTTAATATCCAGCTGTGTTTTCGTTTGACCATCGTAACACGGTCCTGCTGTGTTGATGTATACATGTATGAACAGATTGAGTTTACCTGTGTATTAGGGCTACTTATGACATACGTAATTGACTCGAATTGGTACAACCCTCTCACCTGTCCACCCATAAAGCCTAGAGCACAGACCTGCGACTTTTGGTTACTCGTCGCTGCAACCTGCAACCGCAAGCGATCAGTCGCACACTTCACCGCGTGTGTGCATGCAAGCGACTGCCTACCATTTGGCGTATTGTTACAAGCGTGTCATGGCTGCAGTCAAATAAAATGAATTTGAATTTGAAATTGAATTATTGGACTTTATTTTCTGGCGCAGTATTTACCCGTCATTTCCAGTCGGAACGCGATATCTTGATATGCTGCATGTATTTTAGCACTATCGCTATATTCCGGCAAAGTTATATCAAACAATACCGGCCTCTCCATCCACATATCGAGCAAAATAATTTCTTTCTCCTCACTCCAACTTGTTGCTGTGAGCGTAGCCACAGCACGTGATGAGATGGTGCTCGCTGGTTGGTCGGACGAGAATTTTTCATCGTTGCAAGTCGCTGTCTACCCGCACACATGCGATTTCGAAGCGATTTCGGAATGATTCGGAGCGACGGGTTGCTCAAAATCAAATCAGTTTGATTTCTTGCAACTCGTCGCAAGCAACCAGAATTGCTACGACTCGCAGTTGCACGTTCCCGCAGACGTAGCGATTTCACAGCAATTTCGACTGCGATTCTAGAATCGCTGTCGAGTTGCATGAAAAAGTTGCAGGTCTGCGCTAGTCTTAGTGACCTAACTTCAGAAATTCCCATTAAGAACTCTGTATATATATATACCTTTCTTTATAAATTTTGAGTTGATAACAGTATTACTAATTACTATAACAATTTTTTCAAAAGAGAGGAAGTCAACTTGTTAACTTTGTGTTGTGTCTTCCGCAGTGATATTGACTTGGTGGTTATTGGAGAGTGGGAAAAGTTGCCTTTGTGGACACTAGAGAAAGAAATTAAAGATCATGACATAGCATTGCCTGAAACAATCAAAGTTCTAGACAAGGCATCCGTAAGTATTATTCTCACTTCCGTGCGCGTGCGTGTATGCATGTGTGCATGTGTGGTGTGTCAAAGTTAATTGTCAAAATTTCAGAGAGCATAGTCATGATTGACTAAAATCATTTTATTCTTTCTATAGGTCCCAATCATTAAGCTGACTGACAAAAAAACTGAAGTAAAGGTTGACATCAGCTTCAACATGAACAATGGTGTTAGGAGTGCTAAGCTTATCAGGGTGAGTGTGTACGTAGGGTTCATATAGGGGAAGTATAAGACTTTAAAGACCAATGAATTTAAGAGGTGGAACTGCTGAAGTACACAGATTCCTGAGTCATTTTTATGAGCTCATATTACATAGATAGAGCTTGTAACATAGAATGATACTAGCAACTATTACAACCAAAACATGCTATAGTACAAGCTACTGTTTTGTGTTCCTGTTTTTGTAGCAACAGTAGCATCATCAGTATTCTTGTTCAATGGTTGCCCTGAAATTGACTGATATAAGCCTCTTATAAAAAACAACTAATCTGTATTTGCTATCGAATCAAAAACCCCAATTGTGAGAGCAAATAGATGTTGTAAATCTTGGAGCAGTTGCCATCTCATGAAATCCGTGTGTCACTAAACTGAGTAGAGAGAGTTCCAGTCATAGTGACCATCATATTCTACAGTGGTATACTGCAGATGACACAATAATTTTTGTCATTCGGACAGTTAATTTCATTTGTGTTCTGCATAATATCTCGTTTCAAAATTCAGACTGGGTACTTGTGTCTTCTTAAGAGCAGGGAATTTGTTGGACAAGTTTGAAATTAGTTGCACATTTGTTAAAATTGCGACTTAAATTTTGTAAACTATGACCGGAAAATCCACTCGTGCTCAATTTTGCGACTTTATACTAATATATATATACATATCAGACATTTAACCATAGACATCTAATAAAGCTTTTAATGATTTGGAGCTGTGAATTGGTTTGTTCTTTGATTGCAGGAATTCATTGACATGTACCCCTCATTGCCATACATGGTGCTTGTGCTGAAGCAGTTCTTGCTGCAGCGTGACCTTAATGAAGTGTTCACAGGCGGCATTAGCTCATATAGCCTAATCCTGCTCACCGTCAGCTTCCTGCAGGTAAGAATACTATGACTATGAATAATACTATTACAGAAATCTGTAATGATATAATTGTATCCCCCGCGACGAAGTCGGCGGGGATACTATGGTTTCAAGTCTCCCCAGCCGCCGCCGCCGCAGACAATTTCCTTTCCGTTCTATAACTCGACCCCTAATTCACCTAGCGCTACCAAACTTGGTATACTTACAGATCTTGGGGAGAAAGTGAGCAGCGTACCAAAACCAGGTCACTGTGACCTTTATTTGACCTTTACCTTGACCTTGATCATATTTCCCTTCCGCTCTCTAACTCGGCCCCTAATTGAACTAGCGCTACCAAACTAGGTATACTAGCTTACACATCTTGGGGAGAAGGTGTGCAGAGTAACAAAACCAGGTCGCTGCAACCTTTATTTGACCTTTACCTTGACCTTGATCATATTTCCCTTCCGCTCTGTAACTCGGCCCCTAATTCTTGACCTAGCGCTAC